AAGCGAGCTAATGGCCCTCAATGTTCATATCCCTGTTTATAAACTGAGTGCAATATAAACCATTTTTCATTCATGTTCCAGGAGTTCTCTGCTTTCTGATCCTGGACTAGGTCATGATTTCAGAAATACCAACTGACCTTGTTATTTTTAAAAGCCTTGACTAAAGTGACCAACACCTGTATACCACTAATTTGAAATTCATTTCCCACCAAAATAATGTTAGCACTACCTATACACCAACAGCAATGACTTTCATGGTAACCATTTTTACATAAGTCTATTAGGATCACAGCATTTGGCTTCATTCACATGTACTCTTAATAGATATATTTTTTAAAAAGTATGGCTACAGGATTAAACTCCACCAAAATGACCTTGAGTCTTATCACAAAATTTCTCCAAAAAATGCAAAGAATTGTGCTGCATGTCAATTTATTTTTTCTGCACTGTTGATGTAAATTTCAAACCAATATAGAGCCAATAAAAGACACACTGTCTCTTTTCGCCACCATTGAATATTTCTAATAATACACAATCAGGTTCTCAGAAAAATAACTGACAGGCTAGTTAATCATCATCTTGTTGTCTTGTAGTAAAATTGCACCCACAACGACTAGAGTGAACTTTAAAGTAGATTTTGATATTCAATGGTGTAAATGGTTATGGGGATATCTAAGGTTTTGGAGTAGATCTGTAGCTCGGGGTGTGGGTGTTGAGGTTGGTTGGCTCGCCGAGCTGGTTTGTTGTTCCACAGATGTTTCGTTACCGTGCTTGGTAACATCTTCAGTGCAGCCTCTGATGAAGCGTCGGTGTGTTTTCCCGCCTGGGCCATCGCAACAGATCCCAGAGTTTTAAAAACCGGGCGGGAAAACACCCCGACGCTTCATCAGAGGCTGCACTGAGGATGTTACCAAGCACAGTAACGAAACATCTGCGGAACAACAAACCAGCTTGGCATGGTTATGGGGATAATGTGGATAAAAGGCATTTAAGTATTTGATCAGCTGTGATTGTATTAAATGGGTGGAGCAGTCTCAATGGGCTGAATGGCCTACTTTTATTCCTATGTTCCAATGTTGTTGGCATCAATATCCAATTTTAATGGCTTCTCATAATTCTGTGCTACCACAACCAGTGTGGTTGTCAGCACAGATTTCAAGTAGTCAAAGGCACTCTGACCTTCTTGGGTGCTTTCAAATTTTCTGCTTTTCCTGGAACAAAGTTTTCAAAACAGTCACTACAGTGATAAAGTTCAGAACAAACCTCCAATAAAATCCACTCACCCCAACACATCACAAAACATCGTGTTTAGTCCTAGGCGTGGGAAAATCCAAAACAGCCCTTAGTTTCACTTTTCCAGAGGTACTTGGCCTTGTTCACAAGTATGGCCCCAAAAAAGCCATTTTTAGCCAAATTTACAGCCAAATTAGCTACAAAAAGCCAATCAAACTGCTCAGTCATTTGATGTAAATGTTGGTTCCTGGTTTGTTAAATATAACCAAGTTGTTAATGGAAACCATGTAGTTACGTAGTCCCTCAGTGATTTTATTGCTTAATCATCAGTATGTTGCGAGTGTAATTTTTACTCCAAATGCATGACTTTGTATGGATAACATCCATTTGGTACCACAAAGCTTATTTTTTCTGGGTCTATCAACTAATTTTTCCAGATTGTGCGTATGTGTAAGGATGTTGTTTAATAGATAATGCACCCCTTACATTAACATCCTAAATAGCCAAAGACATTTTTCCTGGTCTAATCACACAAATTGATTTATGAGTCATTCATAATTTTTGTAAGTCACTTTGATCATTTTTTTGGGAAAATAAAATTTTGTGCTATTTGACCTTTTAAGCCCCTCTGTATTATCCAATCTGATTGCTGGAGAGTCAACTTGTGAATTTTAAATTTCTGGTTATTTTTAGTATTTCAAAATTTCTTTGAACATTTGTGACATACAATGAGATCAAGTGTCTTTTTTAATGGGTGATGCATATTTTGTTTAAAAAAAAAATCTTTTCTGCTACCATTTTTCCAGTAAGTTTTCTTAAAAGCACTGTTTCAGAAAGCCTTGTTGACAGATCCATAATTGTTAAAAGATACAGATTCCCATTCCTGGTTTTAGCTACAGATCCTACACGAATCTGTTAAGACCCTGCTAAATGGTTCTTTTGAAAGATGGAATCAGAATTAAAGATGCACATTTAATTTGTTGGGGTCTTCCCACTCCCTGACATGAATAACAATTCTTGCAAAATGTAACCACATTTTTATGTAATCCTGGCCAATAAAAATATCTTAACATTTTAACTCTTTTTTCCAAATAGTAAAGTGACCTGCCATTGGAATTTCATGAGCCACTTGTAAAATTTCATTATGACACTCAGATCGGACCACCACCTGTCATTAAGGGTGTTCTCAATTACCTTATTATTACTTTACTTTTCAAGTAATAACACTCAAGGATTGGTTCTGATTAAATTTATGGCATATCTGCCAAAGTTAAGATCTGTTTGTTGCATTTCAATAAAGAAGATGGGCTAAATGTGTCAGCCTTATTAAGTTTACTTTCATCCTTTTGATTTAAAATTCCAAAAATTATGTCTGATCACTGAGTTTCCAAGTCATTTCCCTTTTTCCCAGGTTCTTTGCTGTCCAATTTTATAAGCCAGAGATCTAGTTGCAACACAGTAAGGAAACAATCTAGGATGTTCTCTCATACCACCTCAGTTTCTTTTATACCCATGTGCCACTAGTTTGAAATCTAAAAAATTATACTAATAAATGTAAATCACACCCCGTTCATCATAACAATATGTCAGTGTTGTTTTATTTCACAGTCAACAACCACTTCCATCATTTTGCTTATGATTTGAGTTGACTGGGTTGGCAATTATCCTGCTTTTCGTGGACAGTGATTAGTTTTGCACATTTATCATTCATTCAACTCATTGCAGAAAATTAGGGCTCAATTTATAATGTAACTAGTTGATTAACAGTGAGAAATACTAATGCAAGACCTTGTGGAGTAATGATGTTCTTGAGAAGTTTAGTTGGAGGTAATAAGCTGCAGATCTCCATAACATTGTTGATGAAATCTATGTTGGTGAACACTGCAGATTCTACATTCAAATGGAACCATCTTCCATTTGCAAACAAACTAAGCAGAAATACCATCTTTAACTTCCCTTGGGGCAATGAAGAATGAGCAATTGATATTGGTTAGCCAGATGCCAATTTTCTGTGAATAAATAAACAGGAAATGAAACAGACACAAAATATTGGAGAAATTCAGCAGGTCTAGCAGTATCTGTGGAGAGAGAAAGTGTTAACGTTTTGACTCTGATATGGTTTCTTCAGAACTGGAAAAAGAAGGTGAGGTGGAAAGATGGAGGGAATTGTAGCATTTAGGGATCCAAGCGACTGAAAGCAGAGCCACCAAAGATGGACCTATTAAAATGGAAGGTGTATTTGGAAGAGGATGATATTAAGAATATTTTTCGAGCAGAGACAGATGTGGCAAAGCAATGACAACTACGTAACAAGTTCCAGGGCCAAGAGTGATGAATATGCAGCCACATGGAAAGTGGCAGGGGAGCAAGTGGATAGTGGAGCCAAGGATCTCTGCAAAAGAGATCTGGAAACAATGAGAAGAACTCTGGTGATCACTACAGTGGGCAGGAGGGAATTGGTAAAATTCACCAAGGGAAAATAGACTGGAAAGGCTGGGACTTCTTTCACTGGAGCGTAGGAGGTTGAGGGGTGGCCTTATAGAGGTTTATAAAACCATGATGGGCAGGTGAATAGCACAGGTCTTTTCCCTGTGGCAGGGGAGTTCAAAACTAGAGAGCATATTTTTAAGGTGAGAAAGTTTTAAAAGGGACATGAGGGGTAACTTTTTCACACAAAGGGTAGTTCATATGTGGAATGAAGAGCCAGAGGATATAAAAACCGAAAGAACTGCGGATGCTTTAAATCAAGAACAAAAATAAAAGTTGCTGGAAAAGCTTAGCAGGTCTGGCAACATCTGTGAAGAAAAAAATCAGAGTTAACGGAATAGTCACTGGACCCGAAACATTAACTCTGATTTTTTTCTTCACAGATGCTGCTAGACCTGCTGAGCTTTTCCAGCAATTTCTGTTTTTGAGCCAGAGGACATGGTGGACGTGGGTACCCTTGCAACATTTAAAAGACATTTGGATAAGTACATGAATAGAAAAGGTTTGGTGGGATATGGGCCAAATGCAGGCAGGTAGGACTAGTTTAGTTTGGGAGTATGGTTGGTGTAGACTACATGAACAGAAGGGTCTGTTTCCATGCTGTCTGACTCTATGACAAGGATTACTGTTAAGTGTTTACTGTGACTGAGGATATGTGTTTTTGGCAGATGGTAACTGGTTGGCTCGAATAACATCCAAACATTTAAAATTCAAAACTTGAAGCTTGATACAGAGGTTCAGTGGCAGAAGGAAAGAAATAGAGACAAGCATTGTAGAGAAATAGGAAGGTAATTTTGTTAATAGAGCAGAAGGGGGAAGTGGGGCATTGTGGAGAAACTGTGCTTGGATGGCCGAGAAATATTTTTAAAAATGTGCTTTGCATTTTCTGGTCTGAGAGAAGCCAATGCAGAAATATATTTGTGAGTTCGTGTAGCCTACTATATAGTAAGAGTGGAGAACAGCTAAATTTAAAAGCAAAGTGGAAGTGTAATGTTTTGATTGACCGCATTCATACTACAAAACCTATTTAATTCAACGAAGCGACTTACAGTCGTACTACGCTGTTGTCTACTAAGTAATTGCACTCAAATTTCAAACGCAGTCTATCAATGGACATCTTCATAGGACTGTTTCATCATTTCTCTTTCTAAATATTGATTTTTTAAATGTGTTAACTTGATCAGTCATATCAATTGTTTTCTTCTGTAAACTTGGTTCGACTGTGCTTTTTTTTGAATTGTTAATAGAACTCTCGGCCTGAGTACACACCCTACACCTGGGCGACAGGAAGTGATAACCTGATTTCTTCGGCGTTGCGAAACTTTCCTTACAGCCATTATTTGGCGGAGTTCTGGCATTTGCATTCTGTTGTTTGCACACTTGCAGGTTCTAATCACAGCCCCCAATCAATCGGACAAAATGAATGCAGAATCCTCCCGCCACAACATCGAGAATACCGTGTGGGAAGTGCGGGAGCGATATGTGAACCTTTCCCTCATTGGATCTGGTGCTTATGGCACGGTTTGGTAAGTTTTGCAAGAAGTGGAGCTGTCCGCCTAGTTTAGTGATTGGAGATGTGTGGGTTCGAGGGAGATGTCTGCGATTACTTGTTTTGCTCGGACGCAGTAAGATACGTTTAAAAGAAAACCTATGCTCTCAGCGCCCTAAAGAATATTCTCTGATAGTGAAATGCTGAGGGAGTGGTGGGGGTTCAACATAAATACTCTGTTTTATTTACATTCTGATGTGAACAGCTCCGCAACCGACAGACGAACGGGGAACAAGGTCGCGATTAAGAAGTTGTACCGCCCATTTCAGTCTGAAATTTATGCCAAAAGAGCTTACAGAGAGCTGAAACTGTTGAAACACATGAAGCACGAAAATGTAAGTTTTCACAGAGACCAATGTGAACAGCCCCTCGCATTTGATTGTGGCGCGGTGTGATGGTTGATTTTTTAAAAAAAAATCAACATTGATGTAGTGAGATAACAAGGGTAGAGCAGGATGAACACAGCAGGCCAAGCAGCATCAGAGGAGCAGGAAGGCTGACGGTTGAAACGATTGGCTTTTCTCTAATGGGAAAGTAAATAACATTGAATGGCTTAACCAAGACAGCGCATCCCATAGAACTGTTTAGTGGCATTAAGAAGTTATGTGGTCTGTCATTTTAAGGCCACTAACATCCAAGAGACTAAGATTAGAAAACTATCTGTTCTTTTTAAGAAAAAAAACAGAAATCCACTTTACTGTGTGACCAAATGCTCCCAAGGCATGTCTCAACAATATCTATAACTTAGATTTACAGTTCATTGAACCAGGTAAATCTGAATAGTTTGATCACACAAAATCACACCGATGCAGCATTATTTATAAACTCTTTCATATCGAGTGAAACAAGACGCAGAGAAATTCTTGTGGGAGTAATTGGGGGTTAAGGGTCTTGATGAATATCTGTAAGATTCCGTGACAAAATTTGTGGAGAGGGTAGAGGTAGTATTCATTAGAAGTGGGGAAGCAGCGACCTAGTGGTAACATCGTTGCACCGTCCAGTGCAGATTGCAGGGAGGGCGATGGCTTAGCGTTATTATCGCTAGACTGTTACTCCAGATAACGTTCTGGGGACACAGGTTTGTATCCTACCATGGTAGATGGTGGAATGTGCGTTCAGTATTAGAAAAAAGTCTGGAATTAAGAATCTACTCGAGACCATGAAACCGTTGTCAATTATTGGGAAAAACCCATCTGGTTCACTAATGCCCTTTTAGGGAAGGAAATCTGCCACCCTCACCTTGTCTGACTGACATTTTGACTCCAGAGCCACAGCAATGTGGTTGACTCTCAGTTGCCCCCTGAAAAGGCCTAGCAAGCTATTCATTTGTACCGATCACTACTATATGTGATCTCACTTGCAGGATATACCCAGGAGAAGTGGCAGAACAGTGATATATAGTCAGGAGGGAGTTGTTCTAGGAGTCCTCAACATTGACTCTGGACCTCATGAAATCTGGTGGCTTCAGGTTAAACGTGGGAAAGGAGACGTCCTGCTGATTACCACAAACTGTCCTCCCTCAGCTGACGAATTGGTACTCCTCCATTTTGAACAACACTTGGAGGAAGCACTGAGGATTGCAAGGGCCCAAAATGTACTCTGGGTGGGGGACTTCAATGTCCACCACCAAAGGTGGTTTGGCAGCAGTACTACTGACCAAACTGGTCAGGTCCTAAAGGACATAGCTGCTAGACTGGGTCTCCGGCAGGTTGTGAGGAAACCAACAAGATGGAAAAACATATTTGATCGCATCCTTACTAACTGCCAGCTGCAGTTGCATCTGTCCATGACAGTATCGGTAAGAGTGACCATCGCACAGTCCTAATGGATACAAAATCCCACCTTCACATTGAGAATAACCTCCGTCGTGTTGTATGGCATGCTAAATGAGACTTCGAACAGATCTAGCAACTCAAGAGTGGGCATTCATAAGGCACTGTGGGCCATCAACAGCAGCAGAATTGTACTCCAGCACAACCATTACCATCAAACTAGGGGATCAACACTGGTTCAATGTAGAGTGCAGGACAGCATGCCAGGAGCAGCACCAGGTGTCCCTGAAGATGAGGTACCAACCTGGTGAAGCTACCAAACAGGACTATTTGCACACCAAACAGCAAAACCAGCAAGTGATAGACAGAGCTAAGTGATCCCACAATCAATGGATCAGATCTAAGCTCTGCAGACCTGCCATATCCAATCGTGAATGGTGGTGGTGGATAATTAAACAACTGACTAGAGGAAGAGGCTCCACAAACATCTCCACCCTCAATGATGGAAGAGCCCAGCACATCAGTGCAAAAGATGAGACCGAAGCTTTCACAGCAATCTTCAGCCAGAAGTGCCGAGTGGATGATCCATCTCGGCCTCCTCCAGTGGCCTCCAGCATAACAGATACCAGTCTTCAACCAATTCAATTCACTCCACATGATATCAAGAAACGGTTCGAGGCACTGGATACTGCAAAGGCTACGGGCCCTGACAACATTCCGACAATAGTACTGAAAACTTGTGCTCCAGAACTTGCCACTCCCCTAGCCAAGCTGTTTCAGTACAGTTACAACACTGGTATCTACCCGGTAATGTGGAAAATTGCCCAAGTATGTCCTGTACACAAAAAGCAGGACAAATCCAACCCGGCCAATTACCGCCCCATCAGTCAACTCTCAATCATCAGTAAAGCAATGGAAAGTGTCATCAACACTGCCATAAAGCAGCAGCTGCCCAGCAATAACCTGCTCATTGATGCCCTGTTTGGGTTCCGCCAGGGCCACTCAGCTCCTGGCCTCATTACAGCCTTGGTTCAAACATGGTTCCAGAAGTGAGGTGAGAGTGACAGCACTTGACATCAAGGCTGCATTCGACCAAGTGTGGTATCACAGATTGCAGCAAAACTGCAATCAATGGGTATTGGGGACAAACTCTCAGCTGGTTAGAGTCATACCTGACACTTTGGAAAATGGTCGTGTTTATTAGAGGTCAGTCATCTCAGCTCCAGGACATCTCTGCAGGAGTTCCTCAGGGTAGTGCCCTCAGCCCAACCATCTTCAGCTGCTTCATCAATGACCTTCCCTTCATCATAAGGTCAGAAGTGGGAATGTTCGTCAATGATTGTGCAATGTTCAGCACCATTCATGACTCCTCAAGCACTGAAGCAGTCCATGTCCAAATGCAACAAGAGCTGGACAATATCCAACTTAGGCTGACAAGTGGCAAGTAAGATTCACGCCACACAAATACCAGGTTATGAGCATCACCAAAAGGAGACAATCTAACCACTGCGCTTTGACATTCAGTGGTGTTACCATCGCTGAATCTCCCACTATCAAGATCCTGGAAGTTATTATTGATCAGAAACTCAACTTGACTCACCACATAAATGCCGTGGCTACAAGGCAGATCAGAGGCTAGGAATACTGCAGCGAGTGACTCACCTCCTGACTCCCCAAAGCCTGTCCACCATCTACAAGGCACAACGCAGGAGTGTGATGGAATACTCCCCACTTGCCTGGATGAATGTGGCCCTAAAAACACTCAAGAAGCTTGACACCATCCAGGACAAAGCAGCCCGCTTCATTGGCACTCCATCCACAAGCGTCCACTCCCTCCACCACCAACACTCAGTAGCAGCAGTGTGTATTATCTACAAGATGCACTGTAGTCATTCACCAAACATCTTCAGACAGCACCTTCCAAACCCACCACCACTTCCATCTAGAAGGACAAGGGCATTGGACACACGGGAACACCACCACCTCCAAGTTCCCCTCCAAGTCACTCACAATCCTGACTTGGAAATATGTTGTTGTTCCTTCACTGTCGCTGGGTCAAATTCCTGGAATTCCTTCCCTAATGGCATTGTTGGCCAACCCCAGCAGGTGGACTGCAGCGGTTCAAGAAGGCAGCTCACCACCATCTTCTCAAGGGAAACGAAGGATGGGCAATAAATGCTGGCCAGCCAGTGACGCTTGCGTCCCAAAAATGAATAAATAAAAAATAAATAAATAAACTCCTCCTGTTCTTGGAGCATTGGTTGGAATCCATCAGGGAAAATGGTGAATTTTCAATTCACTACAAAGCTGACCTAATGATTGTTGTAAAAATCCATCTGGTTCACTAATGTTTTTTTGGGGAAGGAAATCTGCCATCCTTACCTGGTCTGGCCTACATGCAGCTCCAGATCTACAGCAGTGTGATTGACTCTTAACTGTCCTCTGGACAATTAGGGAAGGGCAAGAAATGCTCATGTGGCCAACAATACCTACATCCCATAAAAGAATATTTAAAACTTTAACCAATGTTCCTTAATGCATATAACCTTTTTTCAGAGATGTACTAGGTCACACCTGAACTTGGGTCTCCTGGATCAGAGGTAGAGACATTACCACTGTGCCACAAGAGAGACCCCCACCCTCCAACCTTCCTTAAAACAAATGATTTAGCATTGCTAATTGTGGAATCTTGTCTGCAAATTGATATGTGTGCATGGATCCAGCAAGCTGCTTACAGGCTGCTCAATGGACATCTTGCAAGAGAACTGTGGGGCTACTTGGCAGGTCGATTAATTTGTTAAGGTTGACTTTTTATTGGCCGAGTGTGAAATTCCATTGGCAGAATCTAAGAGTAATCCAACAAATAGCCACATCCTTCGAAGGTTCTCTTCTGTTCGCAGAGTTGGTTATAGAAATATACCTTTCTTCTAGATTGAAATACATGTCAAAAGTGACATTCATTTTTGTAACAGAAACTAAATACTGTGGGAGGTGGATGCTAAGGAGATGGATACAAAAGATATAACTGAGTGGCTTGTTAGGTCATTTCAGAGTTAAGAATCAACCACATTGCTGTGGGTTGGAGTCACATTGACCAGAGCAGGTAAGAACAGCTGTTTCCTTTCCAAAAGTGAGCCATTAGTGAACCAGATGGGTTTTTATGACACTCATCAGATTTTTAATTCCGGATTTTTGTTGAATTTAAACTTTAGCATTTAGCCATGGTAGATTCAAACTCAGGTTCCCAGAACATCACCTGGGCCTTTTGGAATACTAGTCCAGCAACAACACCACAAGGCCATCACCCACCCCTGCTACTCTGGATCTCCTAATCTGTGCCTGTGAAACAAAGTTGGGAAGGAGAGAGGGGCTAATGATTAAGAAAGTGTGGTGTGATGGGGAGAGGTTTGAGAAAATGGTTTCAGGAGTGAGTAATGGGAGAAGGAAGTTGGGAATAGGCACCGTTGAATGAGTGGGGGAAGGGAGATTTGAAAGAGGAGCTGCTGAATATTGAGCAAATGTGGCTGGGGACGGCAGAATTGAGAAGAGGGGTCTCTGGAGGA